GCTTCAAGATTATTGCCACCGATTCCATTCCAATTGCCTATATTTCCGACACCAGTACCCGATAAATGGCCAATATTTCTCCCACCGTTTCCATTATGATCGCCGACTCCTCCAACTAAATCAATAATCATTTGTAATTCTGTAGAAAATATAATAAACTTCAATACAAACCTCCATTTGCAGAGTTATTGCCAATTATGTTACCACCGATTCCGCTATGATTTCCAACACCTAATAGTTAATCATTATATGTCATAATGTGTACTGATTTTATATACAATTTATTATACCTCCGATGCCATTGCCATTATAGTCGCCACCGTTTGCGCCGCCATTTCCATTATCAATGCCTTTACCGCCCTTTCCGTTGCTAACATTACTGCCCATTATGTCACCGCCTAATCCGTTGTGATCGCCAATACCTCCCAAACCATTACCAGAATTGCCGCCAAAGTTACCCCCTATTTAGAAACAAATATAATGATTTTCAATATCTTAAAAACACAATGAGATGAGACCTCCGTTTCCATTTCCACCATTGATTTCTCCTGAATTAGGTTTAGAAGACGTCTGTTTGTGATCCCATTTAATTTGATTCCCATTAATGGCCACGAATTCATCAATCATTTCTTTCTTGGGATCATAATTGGTGCCAAAAATGAAGGGAAGGTTTTCTCCAAACACACTGTCGTTGTCATCATTGTCTTCGTTGTCGTGGTTTTGATGGCCATTGAAATCGTTTAGGAAAGACTCAAAACCGGGCGGATATGGATATGGCTTTGGCTTTGGCTTCTGGTTATCCTTTTTATTCCACTTCTGTTCCGGGGATTCAAAACCCAGCGGAAGATCTGAATTGTCTAATGTATCCCAATATGAGTGTTGGCTTTGTTTGTCGCTCACTATTGGACTTAATATAAAGCACAATATTATAATAATATTCAAACACAACATTGAAAATTGTGTCATTATTTTAATAGAAATTTGCTGCCGATTACTCGCCTAACAATTATGTGATTTAATTATTTATGTAAAAATATATATAATTTATTATCGCATTGAAATATATGGGTCAAAGTCGTCCCTAATTTTCTACATCACATCAGTTTTGGATTTGGTTTGTTTTTTCATTATTAAAAGTGCTATATTGTTATAGTTTAGTAAAACAGTTGTTTAACTTAAATATTATAATTAGAAAATATTATACATAAGATTCATACATGCACAATTAAATTATTGATACCTAAATATAACTAATTAATATTGTGTTGTATTTTTAATTTTTAAAATAATTGAATGACAAAACAACACTTTAGGCAAAACAACTCGTTGAATTCCAAACATGCCTTTCCCTCCCTTTCCTGATAATACGATAATAATAAGAAAAACAAGTATTGCATAAGAGGTGGTCGAACTAAATCACAGGTATTTCTATTATATTGATAACATTGACCTTAAACTTACCAATACTTACAAATCAACATTTCATTCAGTGTTTGTTAACACAATAGTTAAGATGTTTAACAAGTATTTTAGACTTAATTGTTTTATGCATAATATGTAAAATAATAGTTTTTTATTATGATTAACGATGCATTTAGTAGTTTAGATTATTAAAACTTTTATTTATTACTTTTTGTTTAATATTTACTATGTTTTTACTATATTTTTTCATTAAATGTGTTTTATTGTGCAAATCTATTGAAGGAGCGGTTCCTATACTACCCATCATAACAGCGATCGCTGGAAGTGGTGGTAGTTTATTGAATGTAGACATAGACTCATTAGGTATCGCCAAATGGCTGAGCGAATCATCAAAAACAAGTAAAATTAATTTTTTTTAAATTTAATAATTTTATAATTATAAAAATGTCAAAATTAACACAAACTAAGTAAATGTTGATTAAACTCAGAGAAGAATCGGTCGGGTTTTGTGAAGGACTTGATGTATACGGCGTTTTACAAATCGGACCAAAAATACAATGTTTTGGTCTTCAATCTGAATGAAGAGCACAAACATAGACTCGAAGGCATTCAGTTCTATGGGAGCACTGAATACAGTGATGGCACTAAGTTTGGCGTTTGGGTCTTCGAGAACGGATTCTTTATCAATAAGGGCTCCAGAGGTTGGGATAACTGGGCTATGATTGGCTCGTTTACCAAAAACAGGTCCGGAAATATTGTCACATTCAGGAAACG